AACAAGACATCTTCAACGAATTAAAAAAGCATTCGTGCGACAGACCTCTTTACTACTTTGGTATGGGCAGAAGAGAAAGGCAGAAGAGAAAAAGGTACCGATGGTCACTTGGCGACCCACTGTAAGGAGTGCGATTGTGTGCTGTATTTTTGATCACATTTGCATGTTATATTGGGACAGAGATTTATTAACCCATTTGATAGTAGAAGCTGCAGAAATGACACATGATGATTTTGAGTGTGTTAGTGCACTCTCTATCTTGCTCACGCGGAAAGAACTTTGTTTTGTGGATGGGGTGATAGATAATAACGGATAAGTAATATACGGGACTGGCACACATGCTTTTTGTTGGTCTGCCTTTTATTATTATTTTTTTTTCTTTTGCTACCCCTTTATAAACTATGACGTTTGCAATAAACGTTTAGTTGAAGTTAAGCGCTTGTGTTGTGTGTTCTGTGTAATAGTTGCTGCGCTTCCTACCAAGATGGATTCATACCAACTAACCCGATACAATTGTTTATTGAGTTAAATTTCTAGTTCGGCGGGCTCTTCACCATTAACGTTCTTCACCCAACCCTTCTAGTAACCCTCATTGCCCTCGTCACATGTCATGCCAGGTCATTCTCGTTTTACTTAAGGATGTAGCTAACACACCCGGAAATTCTGGCTTTTTGTGGTGGTTTTCAACCGTCTGTAAACCATGGAAACCGGATCGCTAGGATCCTGCGTTCGGAGTGTCACAGGCAGACACGCCTCTACCGAGATATTCTGCGCAATCAGATCTACATGAAACACGGCTCAACAAACCAGAAGAGGAAAAGGTGGTGTGAATCATGGGGCCTTCTGAACTGCGAAACTCAACGCCTTGGTCAACAATCCTGTCGCAGCTCAGGTCCAAGCGCCACCGACGAAACATGCTGAGGGCAACATTATTCACAGCACGGATGACGTCGTTCTTTATGAATATGCGAAAGAGACGTTAAGATGAGGTCCCAAGTACGCCGTTGAACCAAGACTTGAAGCGCCTAAGCTCCTGTCTCTTGTGAGACAGCTTTCTGGTTGTGCTCAGGATTGTGAAACGGAACAATGTATTTCCAAGGGCATTGATGTGCTTGAAAAGTTCAAGCCCAAGCGTCAAGTGTTGCCCATAAGGAAGGCGGTCACATACCTCGAAGAATCAGGACTTTGTGTCATTCTTTCCGACAAAGAAGGTAGGTTCTGTGTTTCCCCGAATGGTTCTTTTTTTCAAAAAGCGCGAGTAGCGATTAAGTCTGTATTCGATATCAAGCCAAAAGTTTCACTCAAATCTGTTCGAACGGCTGCAAAAAACTTGTGCAGCAGCCTTCTATTGCATGATTTGGTTAAAGAGATCATGAAAACAGATAAACTGGGCTTAGACATGTCTCTTAGTTGCAAGACGCACAAAGATGGTATGCCGTTTCGGGTAATTATTTCGGAGCAAGGTTCTTGGCAAAAAAATTTGGCGCTTTTTCTGCAGGAAAAGCTGCATTTTCTTCAAATGAATGACCCATTTCACACTAAGAATTGTGAGCAGATTGTGAATTTTTCGGTATCGAATGCCAAAGCAGTGGTCAAGGCGTTGTCCATTGATGTGAAAGATTTGTACTATTCTTCACCTCATGATATGCTTCTAAAATTTGTCGAACAGTGCATACTTGAGCATGGTGCAGTGAACTTTCAGAACACTTGTGGTATGTCAGTGCAGGTTTTTTTTTTTGGATTTTCTGGCTTTGTACTTAACGTCCACATTCGTTAATTAGAATGGGAACACCTATATCCAAAAACAGAGTATTTGTATTGGTTCGGCTATTGCACCCGTCCTTAGTAATATTTTTATGGCCCACTTAGATCGGATAATTGATGAGAGGTTGTCGGGAATTTAAGTTTTAAAAATCTGCAGGTTTGTGGACGATTATTTGGTTTTTTTGAAGTGTGATGCCAAAGGGTGTCAAAGTGTTGTTTTGACACTTGGAGTACTTGAGACGGTTTGTTAGCCTCTGAAACCAACACATGAAATGCCATATGAGAATACGCTCAGGTTCCTAGATCTTTCGTTGCAATTTCAGGATGACCACGTTTGTTGGCTTTATGAGCCCAGGAGCAAAAAGCAATTGTTGCCTTTCTCTTCTGCCCATAGCAAAGTAGTGAAGATGTCTGTCGCACGAATGTGCCTTCTTAATTCCTTGAAGAAGTCTTGTTTTCACCTCATGAAGAAGAGCTTTGAGCAACGGTTTTTGCGACTGCAGGCAGCAGGTTACCTGCAATGAATGGTTATAGGTGTCGCTGAATCGCTACATAAGGACTTAAAGAAACAAAATAGGCAGTGTATTAACACTCCCCTACAGCAGCGTAAAACCGCTGTTGTCCCCTATATCCATGGTATGGCACACAATCCTAAAAAGATTGGAAATAAGGTGGGCATCCGAGTGGTCATGTCTGCTCCAGAGAAACTGTCAAAAATATGTCACAGAACTTGTCCTGTTTCGAAAGAAAAGAAAGGTTGCCAAATTAAGCATCGCAATAAATATGTTGAGTGTGCACTGTCGGTTGTTTACAGAGTGCCCTTGTCATGTGGTCTTGTTTATTTGGGAACAACTGAAAGATGCATAAATGACAGGTTAAAATAGCACTATAAGAAAGTGCAAAAGGGTACCAATGGTCAGTTGGCAACCCACTGTAAGGAGTGCGGTTGTGCGCTGTATTTCGATAACACTTACGTGTAATATCGGGACAGAGATTTATTAACCCGTTTGATAGTAGAAGCTGGGGAAATGACACGTGATGATTTTGAGTGTGTTAGTGCACCCTCCATCTCGCTCACGCGGAAAGCACTTTGTTTTTTGGATGGGGTGATAGATAATAACTGATAAGTAATGTACAGGACTGGCACGCGTGCTTTTTGTTGCCCTGCTTTTTATTATTACTTTTTATTTTTCACCCCCTTTATAAAATCTGACGTTTGCAATAAAGGTTCAGTTGAAGTTAAGTGCTTGTGCTGTGTGTTCTGTGTGTAATAGTTGCTGCGCCTCCTACCAAGATGGATTTATACCAACTAGCCCGATACAACCGTTTATTAACTATATGAGGCCATGTAATGGGACGAGTCTTTAAAGCAAGTGTATTGCGTGGTAGAATAATAGAATCACACCAAGCGCCCGAAACATGCGAATTTAACCTTGAGGAGTTGTTTTGAAGCCTCATTCATTACGAAAAAGCTTTGCACATATTTCATTATCATTATCATCAATAAAACCTGCAAAGTGTACGGCTTTGGCAGGGCACGTGGCTCCTTACGGACGCGTACTTGGCTTTTTAAACATTACAGCAAGCATTCTAGATTAGTTTGAAATGGGCGATGTTTCACTTGTAGACATTGTCCCCAAGAATGGAGGCTTATTACAATATTGCATTTTACTCTTGAGCTGAAGCTTAAAGTGTTCTCCAAATATCAATGGATTATATTATAATTTTTATTTTTTAAGCTAATGTGACGGTGTATTCTGGGCACCTGCGAACAGATTGCACATGTAGGAATGAGCCTTCTTGATTTGTCTGGCTTCTGTATCTACTGTGTTTTACTTGGGAGATAGAAGCATTGGCTGCCGACGCACTTAGTCTGTTGTGGCCATCAACACGTAAAGCATGCATGCGCCCACTCCCTCACCTTTCCCCTTGCTGCAATGCTGGACACATGTGCATGCCTTCCAAACTATTTGTTGGAAAGAAGCCATAACATTGTCCTTTTTTTATCATGGTAGGATTGCACAATGAGCCAAGTGAAGTCTTCACTATAAAATGCTCAAGCTCGTACTACCAACCCACACCTAACGTAGGAGAGCACGTCGCAGTAATCTAGGGGCTAAGGTACTCGGCTGCGGACTCGCAGGTCGCGGAATCAAATCCCGGCTGCGGCGACTACATTTTCGATGAAGGCGAGAACGCTGTAGGCCCGTGCGCTCAGGTTTGGGTGCAAGTTAAAGAACCTAAGGTGGCTGAAATTTCTGGAGCCCTCCACTACGGCCTCTCATAATCATATAGTAGTTTTGGGGTGTTAAACCCTATATATCAATCAATCAATCACCAGTGCACATCGTACTCATCAATAAACTTCAGGTTATCGGGTGTCATAATATAAGGGGCTCCTCTCTCTTATGCCCCTACTACAGTATACTGACGATAATTCAAATGATTGGTTGAGTCAAACAAGTATCAGATAAATGAAAGGCAAATACAGTAACATGTGTTGACATTATTTTCTTGATTGCATTTTACTCTATATTACTGCTGCTTGCAGTTTGAGCAACTGCTTATATAAAGGGCAGGCCATACACAAGAAAATATTTGATGTACATCATTTGTGAATGCTTCATTACAGCACAATTTGGTATGTTGCTATAGGCAATGTTGATGAGAAACTCTGATCATTCAAACATAATTTTGGGACCCCTTCGAGTTATTAAGAGCTTACTGAATGTTTTATTCACTCCATTTACCAGCATCCTTTGAGTTAGACGTAACGACATTTCACTGTATTGACATGGTTTGGTGTCAATGCAATGCATGGTGTATGTCAGTGTTTTGGAAACTAATCATAATTGCTCATGCACTAATGTTAAATAAAATGTGAAGAAATTGCTTACAGCAACACGAATTCATCTAACTGCATCTCGAGTCGGAAGTGCACGCAGCTGGTGTTCTCCTGTGGTTTCTTGTCACAATCTTTCTACATGCTCAGCTCAAAATGCAGCCTTTTGCCGTGGAAAGTTGAATAATACTGCACCGAATCGGAGAAACCTCTTACTCGTAGGACAAGCTTAGGACTTACGGCCTGGCTAGTTTTTTCTGTCATGGCTTAATGAAGGGTGCGAAAGGACCAGGTTTCAGGATCGAAATTCGGTGCAGCAACAGTTCTCGATATTTTTTCTATCTTGGGCAGTACTTCTGAAGTGGTCTTTGCTTGCTGGTTCCAACTGCTGCAGGAGTGTCGCAGTGGTACTGCGTGGCTGGGGGCACCGATGAGGCCGCCTGGTTCTCAAGGAAGGTGCGTACGCTGGACGAACTTCTGCGTTGGATGCCCTTCTCTCAATGCCTGGTGTTTCTCAACTCACAGGCCAGGTGCGTGCTCGAGCTTGTCATTATTTGTGCTTCTGAATAAGGCCAGCAAGCATAGCATGGCTGCGTGAGGGACATATTCAATAATATGGGGATAACTTGGTGTTACGAAAAGGTGCTACATTGATAAATATTACAAAATCTTGATGTCACAGACTTTGGTACAACGAAAATTTTAAGGGAGGGGGGTATGGATATTTATTTATGAATAGAATATTGGATTTGATCAGAAACATCAAAAGTTTCTGAATACATTCAACTGCAGTTAAACACTTTAATACGGCGAACGTTCAGACATCGTGCAAGTAACACATTACTTTTGTTTCGCTTTTTAATGTTTAATTTAAAACTGTATAAAACCAACTTGTTTGGCTCTCATCTATGTTGGAACTTGCAACTGTGGTTCCACTAGTAAACTACACGGACTTAAAATTAGTAATCAGATTCACAAAGTGGTGTTGTACGTCTTGTTAATGAGACCAGAACTGCTTGCACTGAAGTGCAACGAAAGCTCGTCAATTCAAACTTTGGTAAATTGACCTTTCAATCTATTCAAGCTGATGCCCTGGTTCCAGCGTAGCTGTGTGTTTTTAAATGGTGATAACTTCCAATAATTCGAGCACCTCGGTATCCACAAAATTTCATTCAAACAAGGGCTCCCTGGTTAATATTGTTCCTGACAGAAGAAGCCACAAAACTATTGTGGGTTTGTCTTCTTATAGGGATCAATGAAATAATTCTGTTCAAAAGCATCTCTTTGAAAGTTGGGCTCATTTGTGCTATTTATTTTAAAGAAAAATTCTTAGTACTGCGAGAAAACGCCAAAGTGGAAAAAAGGTTGAGGGAGCTAGTGCTCTTGAATTCAAGTTTATTGAAGCTAGTGAAAGCAGCAAAGAATGGACGCTTTCAGCTGTAGTATACAGTTAAACCTGGCTACAACGAACCTATGTACAACAAATTTCTTAATGTTTTTAATTCCTGCTGTTACTGCATAAAAGTGCATATTTGTGAGGCCTCTTTTTCGCTGCCAACAAGCAGCTGATTTCGCCTGGAACTTTGTCATTTTGGCATAAGCAGGAGCCATGTGCATTGTCTACGGTTGCCCCGCTGACAACAGAGAGCAAAGTGGCGGTGGCATACGGGGTGCACTCTAGCATCTGTGAGGCAAGGGCGTGCGGTAGTTCGTCAGGCGCGCGAGTAGGCCTACTGCAAAATCCCCGAAACCATCGCATAGTCTTCTTAGCGGCGTAGCCATGTCGCCCATGTTGCCGGGTTCGCAAAGTCGAATGAAGCCGGTGGCTGGAGATTGATGCCGTACAGTTGCGGCAGTTGCGGCGGTTCGTTTGTCTCGTTGAGGGACATCGTGTTGCCGTTCAGTCGTGGCGAGACGTAAGGCTGGGAGAGTTGTTCGTTCGTTATCCCACTTCTGACCCCATGTTGCGTGGTTAGTGCCGCAAAGGGGCATGGGCACGCAAGAACCGACACGCACAAGCTGGCTCCCCAGACAAAACTGGGTCTTCGCCTTTATAGGGACCGACATATATATTGACGCGTGTCTACATGTGGACGATAACGATGATGGGGCATTTAGTGGGCACGAGGTAGTGGGCCTCTAGCTTCTCTCGAGGCTGAAGAAGACGATCTTGTGACTGAGCTGTTCAGGACACGCTGCCTTTCGTCGTCCCAAGGTGTATCTGTGTTTTATTCGCGTTGTACCGCGACACTGGTGGAGGTGCTGGGCCGCAACCCTGTCTGATGCTCCACACGCCCGCTGGGAGCCGCTCATCGAGTCCAAACGCACTGTCACCTGTAGAAACACCGGTGCATCGCTCCAGTCGACGGTTGCGAGGCCTCGCGCCAGAGCTGACTCACTCGCCGGAACCTGCTAGGCACCGCACAGCTCAACCAATGGCCAACGCAAGCTCGCAACAGGTGCCCCAAGGCAGCTTTCCGACGCACCCATCTCAGGTGACCCTCTTTCAACCCCTCGTTCCCGATCGCTTTAGTGGCGGTGCCCATGAAGACGTTCACGACTGGCTTGACCACTATGAGCGTGTTGCCAAGGCAAATCATTGGTCGGAACAGGAAAAGCTTTGGCGCGCCTATTTCTACCTTGACGACGGTGCTCGTACTTGGTATGAGAATAGAGAAGGCAATCTGTCAGCTTGGCCCGACTTTCGAGAGAAGTTCGTCGATACCTTCGTCAATATCGATAGAAGGGACCGCGCGCAGCAGTTATTGGAGCTACGGGTTCAAAAACCCAACGAAACCGTTGCAATGTTTGCCGAGGACATGACTCGTCTCTTTCAACGAGCTAATTTGCACATGACGGAAGATAAAAAGTTGAGTTACCTCATGCGCGGTGTCAAGGAGCAGCTTTTTGCCGGGCTACTGCGCAACCCTCCGACTACCGTGGTTGACTTCATTAAGGAGGCTACGGCTATCGAGCGGGCCCTTCATCAACGCTGCAGGCAATATGACCGCATGTCCTGCAATGTCCCAATCAATGCTACCGCCATGACGTCTGAGAGTCAGAGCTGCTTGCGAGACTTGATTAGGGAGATAGTTCGCGAGGAACTGCAGAAGTTGCGGAATCCTGTTGCTGAAAATCCCATCGCATCGATCGCTGAAGTCGTACGCGATGAAATCCACCAAGCGTTGTCTACGGCTAGTCTTGATGCTCAGCAGCGTCCTATGAGCTACGCTGCCGCTCTCCGACGTCCACCACCCGCTATGCCGACGCTGTACCACCAGGTGCCGATGGCCCCTTCGTATCCGCCGCAAGAGCAGACACTGCATCAAACACCTACGCTACAGCCACACAACCAGCCATCCACAGCCACCCCATGGGCATCGACGCGTCCACCCACCCGGAAAACAGATGCATGGCGCACCGTGGACAGGCGTCCACTATGCTTTCACTGCGGAGGTGCAGGACATATTGCCCGTCATTGCTGGCATCGAGGTGATTCATTCCGTCCTCAACGACCTTGGTTTGACGGTCGACGTGCCAACGACGAATACACTCCGCGCCGTGACGACACCTCTTTCTATGGAGCCCGTTGTCACTTTGAGGACGGCTCTACCACTGCAGAGAAGGCAATGCCTGCTCAGCCTCCTGGTCCGAGACGTCAGTCCCGCTCTCCGTCCCCCGCGCGTTCGCCTTTGTCGCACCACCGCACCTATGCGAACCTTAATAGGGAGTTTTAGTGCTGGGTACGCATTCTCTTGGGGCCTTGCGGGCTTGGGAGCGTGCGGCGTTGCGTGCCCAACCCATACCCAACCGGAATTCCTTTTAGTTGGCACCACGGTGGCACGCACGCAAACGCAAGCCGCACGAAGGTCACACGCGCTCGCAGCGCCATAGCGTCTTGTCGCGTAAGTATATTTAGGTATTTTTATGATTTAAAATGTTAAATTAAACATACATAGTGATCAGGACACTTTTTATTGTGTACAGTATCCTGGTATACGCAAAAAAGTGAAAAGACAAAGTTGATGTAACGGCAGTGTCGACATCTTGTGACACTTCGTGCAACCACAGTCATGAACATGTTAGCTTACGCGTAATGTTTCTGAGGTGAAAATGAATAAAATCGTTACTCATTTGTAATATTGTCGCTGCGCAGTTTTTGCACCAGATGTACCATGCCCAATGTTTCTGCAATAACAAAAGTGTGGTTGTCTGTTTCACTATGACCTCACTAGATGGCGCCACCTAGTCGGGAGATGGCAAATTTTTAGTTCTATGTTCCAGGCCATTCTAGCTGTGGAAATCTGGCTGAAACCGTGTAATCGCTATAAGTGATCGCACTCTGGCTTATTTTAACTCGACGGCAAGAGTATCCGCAGTGCGGATACCGTGAATTTTCGCGAAGGTGGACCTTACAAGGCGGCCGATCCATGCTGTCCGAGATTTCGCGACATTGTGCCATGCTATTCGTATAGTGGCTAGCCACTATAATATTTGCGCTTAAAACTTAAAAGTCAAAGTGGTGGCTCAGGCCAGCCTCAGCTTTGCTCGCCATCAAGGTAACATGATGCGCCAGCATGTGCGCCACGGCAGCTTATCTCCGCTAGGAGGCCAGTGGTGGCAGCGTTGTTTATGGCCGCACAGACGCATCGCCCCAGCGATCTTGCGACGCATCTCTTTGGGGCTTCGCACATGCGCAATACCGCCGCCCCATCGTCCTACGTACGCAAGCCGCCTGCGTACCCAGCACTAAAACTCCCTAATACAAGAAGGTCACCTAGCCCGCGCCGGGGAAACTGAGAGCGGCGACCTCCGGGGGCAAGGTTGCAGGCCATAAAGATAACGACAAGAAGCCCCCACAGCACGACGCCATACAGCCGATAAGCCGTGAAAGGGATGAAATTGTGACTGCTGACCTTAGTGTTCTTCTCGACGGCCAGAAAGTGACAGCTTTAGTCGACACTGGTGCCGACTTCTCCATTATCAGTCAGGACCTCGCCGACAGCCTCAGAAAAGTGAAGACACTGTGGATGGGCCCTCATATAAAAACAGCAGGAGGCCAGTTATTGATGCCCTCGGGAAGATGTACCGCAAGAATTGACATCGGAGGTTCTCCTTTCACGGCGTCGTTCGTCGTTATCGCCGCATGCTGCAGAGACGTAATTCTCGGCATGGACTTTTTACGGGAATATGGTGCCGTCATCAACATACCAGAGAGCTTGATTACGTTTTGCAACAGTTCGGGCTTACCCGATTCCCCAGAGGCGCGACCAAACCAACTGCGTCTTACTGATAACGATGTAGTTCTCCCTCTGAGGTCATGCACGCTTGTTTCTGTGGCCGCCGCTGCTCAGTTTGACGCCGATGGAGTTGCGGACCGAATAAGCTCGCTGCTCTTCACCCACGGTATTTCTGTCGCACGAGGTATCGTCAGAGTTGCTGCTGGACGCACGGACTTGCTGCTGACCAATTTTAGTGCTGAGCGCCGGCATCTTCCTAAAGGCACGGCTGTCGCTTACTTCGACGATGT